CCCCCCCCCCCGCGGGGGGGGGGGGGGGAGCAGGGGGGGGGTGGGGTTGGGGGGCCCTCCCCCGGGTTTTTTTTGGGGGGGGGGTTGGGAGAGTGAGTGGAGGTTCAGATCCAATCCTGCCTCTTTTGCCTGCAGAAATTCCCCCTCGCCCAGCTCGCTCGCAAGCAGCGACTCGGGAAACACGGACGAGATTCAAGACGACTTCGACCGAGAAGCAGATGTGGAGCCCATGGTCAGCTGATGAATGCCCAAAGCGTGGGGCGCAGGGGTTGTTGTTTGGGTGGGGGGGGATTCTGCGGGACGGGGAGAACAGAAAATTTTGAAGAAAAAAAAGAAACCTGGACAAAAGTTGAAACCTTTGCAGCAGGGGTGATAAACAGGACTTCGGCGTCCTCGGCCGGCGTTCCCGGAGGCTCGGCCTCCCGCGTCATCTCAGGATTGGTGCTGTCAAAACTTTTGTACTGTTTCCGTCGACGACAAATGTGACAAAAACTTTAAAAAAAACAAAACTGCAGTTCTACCTGTGCCTTCGCCCCCAGGCTGTGGGCCCAACCAAGCTCCTACTACGGCACGCCCACCTGCTTCGGACGGAAGGCAAGCCCCTGGGGATGGGAGCCTCTGGCGCCTGGGTGGGAGGGGATCCCGAGGCCCAACCGTCCTTCTTTTGATGCCCAGGGTGGCCGACCCAGAGAGCCTGGGTAGAAGGTAAAGGCAGGGCAGGGCAAGGCCAGAAGGAGACCGCAGGGTGAGAAGGTCGCAGTTTTTAACTACTATGCAAACAAAAAAAGAGCAAAATGCTTTGCTTGCCTTATTTCCGTGGCACGTTTTGGGCCTCTGCTGGGCTCAAGGTCCCTCTCCCGAGTGGCACCCCTGACCCGGTCTTGGGGGTGGGGGCTTTGTCCGGTTCTGCTTGGTGAAGGTCTGTATGCCGCCTTGGCATGGCTGGAGGGCTGTGTCTTTTTTTTTTTCCTGCTGCTTCCCCCGAGTGCCGGGCGTGTGTTCCCTGGCCTCGGGGGCTTCAAGAGATGAGGAGGGAAGCCATGGGTGGGTGCGTGCAGGCTGGGGAGCCCCCAGAGCATGGCTCTGGCAGCTGCCTGGCACCCGAGATGCCCTCGTGTGTTTCCGTTCCAGTGACGCTAAGTATTCTCTGGGGAGGGAGGGTGTTTGTGCCTGCCATTTAGGAGAGGTTGGCGCATCACACAACTGGAAAGGGAGGCAACCCTCTCCTCCCCCCTTCCCTTTTTTTCTCACTGTCCCTTACTAATGTTTGGTGGTGGCACTGTGTATATCCCACTGGCTGGCCAATTAATTGCTTAGCTTCTGTGGGCGGCTGGCTTTTAGTGTGAATGGTGGTGGGATGAGGATCGGTTTGGGAGACCCCCATCCACACCCAAGGCCAGCTGGCAGTCCTCCTCCAGCTGAGCCTCCTCTTGTTCTGTGCTGAAACCCCTCCAAGGGGGAGGGGTGTGGCTTCTGCCCTGTGCAAAAGGCCGCTGTGGAGAGAGAGAGAGAGAGAGAATGAGATACGCACACAGAGAGACGGAGAGAATGAGAGACAGAATAAGAGAGAATGAGAGAAACACACAGAGAGAGACGGAGAGAATGAGAGAGAGA